AGAGACGTTTATAAAGTCACATCTTAAGTTAGCTAACTTTAGCAAACTGACTATAAATAGTCTCTTTTATCTGGTTTTTCTCCTGTAGGACTCCAGCTTTATTTTGGGGGAGGAGCTTGGCCTCCAGAGCCCCTCCCCCAGCTCTCTGAAGGTGGGGCCCAGCCGAGAGCTGGGGGAGGAGCTCGACCTCAGCTTCCTTCCTGATGAGCTCAGCACGCAGGATGAGGCCAGTCGTCATGATGACACAGGTATGACGTCACTGGTGTCCGGGTGTTTTACGGGTTTAAAAGGTTTTTGTTTTAAAGGTAAAACGTTTGTTTGATAATCGAGACTTTTGGCTTCTTACTTCGATTTCTGAATATAAAAGGTATAGACTGTATTATCACTCTCCACCAGACTCCATAGACGAAAACACTCATTTTACCTTCAGATCATCAGAACTTTATTCAAAGTGGACAGATTATAAAATATATCATTATATAATGATATATTATATAATATATATTATATATTATTATCAGTATGTGATGTAATGAGCACTGTGTGTGACTCTGCAGCTCTTAACGTGTCTCAGGACAGCGGCGTCTGTCCGGACTACAACTCCCAGGATTCCACAGTGGTGGTGGCAGCAGCAGCAGCTGACCCCCAGCAGGGGTCGTCCATGTCAGGGCTGGGGATGGGTGCCTCTCCCTTCTGTCCCATGACCCCTATGACCCCCATGACCCCCATGACCCCTGTGACTGAGAGGTCAGGAATCATCCCACAGTTACAGTAAGTTGCTGTAGAAACGCAGTTTTAATACTTCATCTGTAGTTCTAATACTTCATCTGTAGTTCTAATACTTTATCTGTAATTCTAATACTTCATCTGTAGTTCTAATACTTCATATGTAATTCTAATACTTCATATGTAGTTCTAATACTTCATCTGTAGTTCTAATACTTCATCTGTAGTTCTAATACTTCATATGTAATTCTAATACTTCATATGTAGTTCTAATACTTCATCTGTAGTTCTAATACTTCATATGTAATTCTAATACTTCATATGTAGTTCTAATACTTCATCTGTAGTTATAATACTTCATCTGTAGTTATAATACTTCATATGTAATTCTAATACTTCATATGTAGTTCTAATACTTCATATGTAGTTCTAATACTTCATCTGTAGTTCTAATACTTCATCTGTAGTTCTAATACTTCATATGTAATTCTAATACTTCATATGTAGTTCTAATACTTTATCTGTAATTCTAATACTTCATCTGTAGTTCTAATACTTCATATGTAATTCTAATACTTCATATGTAGTTCTAATACTTCATCTGTAGTTCTAATACTTCATCTGTAGTTCTAATACTTCATATGTAATTCTAATACTTAATATGTAGTTCTAATACTTCATCTGTAGTTCTAATACTTCATATGTAATTCTAATACTTCATATGTAGTTCTAATACTTCATCTGTAGTTCTAATACTTCATCTGTAGTTCTAATACTTCATATGTAATTCTAATACTTCATCTGTAGTTCTAATACTTCATCTGTAGTTCTAATACTTCATATGTAATTCTAATACTTCATATGTAGTTCTAATACTTCATATGTAGTTCTAATACTTCATCTGTAGTTCTAATACTTCATCTGTAGTTCTAATACTTCATCTGTAGTTATTATACTTCATCTGTAGTTCTAATACTTCATATGTAATTCTAATACTTCATCTGTAGTTCTAATACTTCATATGTAATTCTAATACTTCATCTGTAGTTCTAATACTTCATCTGTAGTTCTAATACTTCATCTGTAGTTATTATACTTCATCTGTAGTTCTAATACTTCATCTGTAGTTATAATACTTCATCTGTAGTTCTAATACTTCATCTGTAGTTATAATACTTCATATGTAGTTATAATACTTCATCTGTAGTTCTAATACTTCATCTGTAGTTCTAATACTTCATCTGTAGTTCTAATACTTCATCTGTAGTTATAATACTTCATCTGTAGTTATAATACTTCATCTGTAGTTCTAATACTTCATCTGTAGTTATAATACTTCATCTGTAGTTCTAATACTTATAGGGCGTTCTTTTTGTCTTGTAATCGCGACTTGCAGCTCGAGAGTGATGTCACATCCGTGTTGGAAAACGAGTAACCGCGGGTTTTTGCGTGTTTGGCACGCAGCAATGTAAACAAGTGTGTAAGAGCATTTAAAATCGACATTAAAACGACCAACGTAGTACAAATACAAAGAAAATAGATCTCAATATGGGCGCAGCCATCTTTGTTTTGCGAGTCGTACGTTCACCCTTGTCCAGCTCGGTGTACCCTGAGGAGCCCCGAGTGAGACGGCTGAAATTACAACCAAAAGGGGGTGTGTCTCGGGGTTTACGAGACAAATGGATCACAGCATAATAATTAATCTGTAGTTCTAATACTTCATCTGTAGTTCTAATAATTAATCTGTAGTTCTAATACTTTATCTGTAGTTCTAATACTTCATCCGTAGTTCTAATACTTCATCTGTAGTTCTAATAATTAATCTGTAGTTCTAATACTTCATCTGTAGTTCTAATACTTCATCTGTAGTTCTAATACTTCATCCGTAGTTCTAATACTTCATCCGTAGTTCTAATAATTAATCTGTAGTTCTAATAATTAATCTGTAGTTCTAATACTTTATCTGTAGTTATAATAATTCATCTGTAGTTATAATACTTAATTAATGTGTAGTTCTGGTACTGATGTGTAGTTCTGGTACTGTGGTCCTGCAGGAACATCGTCTCCACAGTGAACCTCGGTTGTCCTCTGGATCTGAAGTTTATCGCACTCCAGGCCAGAAACGCAGAGTACAACCCGAAGGTACCGAACCTTCCTTTTAATACGTCAGTGCAACAACAAAGTAGGACATACACCGATCAGTCACAACAGTATGACCACCTGTCTGATATCATGTAGGTCCCCCTTTTGAGGTCCCGAGCCGTTGTGTGCTGTGGTAGCTGGCACAAACAGCAGCAGATCCATTAAGTCCTGTACGTTGAGTGGGGGGGCTCCATGGATCGGACTGGGATTGAGATCTGGGGAATTTGGAGGCAGAGTCAACACCCTGAACTTATTCCTCAAACTGGTTTCTGTTTACGGTAACATACATCAGACTGGGCCTCCGTCTTCCATTTCTCTGTAGTCCAGTTCTGATGATCACATGATCTGATGAGCCCTGATACCCCCCCCCACATTAATTACAGAGACCCAACAGTACCAGCATGAGCAAGCACTTGGCGACAAGGGCAAGGAAAAACTGCCTGTTAAAAGGCAGAAACCTAGGACAGATCCTCCGGCTCTAGGTGGGTGGTCGTCTGTCTCGACCAGTTGGGGTGAGAGAGAGAGAGAAAGAGAGAGACAGACAGGTGCACAGCAACAACAGTATTGGCAATGGCAATCTAGCAGGACCATGGCAGGAGGCTCCACCAGGATCGACAAGAACCTGCGAGATGAGAAAGTACAAGAACTCCAGGGAAGAAGTGAAGTTAGTAACATGCATTAATGGAACATGAATGAGTGCAGAAAGAGAGGGGAAGGGAGGAGCTCAGTGCACCATGGGAAATCCCCCGATAGTCTAGGCCTATAGCAGCATAACTAAGGGATGGTTCAGGACTCACCTGATCCAGCCCTAACTATAAGCTTTATCAAAGAGGAATGTCTTAAGCCTACTCTTGAATGTGGTGAGGCTGTCTGCCTCCCGAACCACAACTAAAACTATAAAGAGTTGCAGTAATCCAGCCTTGAAGTAACAAATGCATGGATTAGTTTTTCTGCATCTGTCTGTGATAGTATGTGTCTAATTTTTCTAATATTACGTAAATGAAAGAAGGCAGTCCTAGAGGTCTGCTTCATGTGGGAGTTAAATGATAAATCCTGATCAAAGATAACTCCAAGATTCCTGACAGTGGTGCTAGAGGCCAAGTTAATGCCATCTAGAGTAACTACATCTTTAGACAATGAGTCTCTAAGGTTTTTGGGGCCAAGAACAAGAATTTCTTTTTTTTTCTGAGTTTAACATCAGAAAATTGCAGCTCATCCAGGATTTTATGTCCTTAAGACATGTTTGTAATTTAGATAATTGATTAATTTCATTGGGCTTAATCGATAGATATAACTGCGTATCATCTGCATAACAGTGAAAGTTAATGGAGTGATTCCTAATAATGTTGCCTAAAGGGAGCATATATAAAGTAAATAGTATTGGTCCAAGTACAGAACCTTGTGGAACTCCATGGCTAACTGTAGTATTTATTGAAGATTCATCGTTAACATGTACAAACTGCGAGCGATCTGATAAATATGACTTAAACCAGCTTAGTGCGGTTCCTTTAATACCAATTTGATGCTCAAGTCTCTGTAAAAGAATATCATGGTCAATGGTGTCAAATGCAGCACTAAGATCTAATAATACAAGTACAGAGACAAGTCCATTGTCAGAAGCAGTCAGAAGGTCATTATTAACTTTAACCAGAGCTGTCTCTGTGCTGTGATGAACTCTAAATCCTGATTACTTCACTGTCTATCAGGAAACTCTGTAAATCAGAGAACTGAAGCTGAGTAGTCGGAGGACATCAGAGGGAAAACCAGGAAATATTTTCTCCATCAAATCTGATCCAGTTTCACCAGAATCTCTGAATACAGTGTTTGTTGTTCCGGCCCGGAGAACAAGAACAGAGAACAGAAGAACCGTGTTTCAGTCAGGAACATCAGCAGGATAATGTTACTGTAAATATTAGATCATTTTATTAATGTAGTGCAGTGAAACGTAGAAGATTTAGTAGAAAGGAGCCTGAAAGTGAAGTGATGATGTTGTTTCAGCGTTTCGCAGCCGTCATCATGAGGATCAGAGAGCCCAGAACCACCGCACTGATCTTCAGCTCCGGGAAGATGGTCTGCACTGGAGCCAAGAGGTCTGTCTGTCTGTCTCTTACTGTCTGTCTGTCTGTCTGTCTGTAGGTATAACAGCTGTTTCTAACCTGTCTTTCTCTCTGTCTGAGCACGTGCAGTGAGGAGCAGTCGCGGTTGGCAGCAAGGAAATACGCTCGCGTGGTTCAGAAACTGGGTTTTCCTGCCCGCTTCCTGGACTTTAAGATCCAGAACATGGTGGCGAGCTGTGACGTGTGCTTCCCCATCAGACTGGAGGGACTGGTCCTCACACACCAGCAGTTCAGCAGGTACGAACCACGCTAACAGCCTAGCTTAGCACGCAAGACTGGAAGCAGAGGGAAACTGCTAGCCTAGCTCTGTCTAAAGATAAACACACCGTCTGATCTGACCAGTGCTGAGATAACGATAACTGATTAATATCAGGATAAAAACTTTATTTAAACAGTCTTGTGTCCACAGTTATGAGCCGGAGCTGTTTCCAGGTCTCATCTACCGGATGGTGAAACCGCGCATCGTCCTGCTCATCTTCGTCTCTGGGAAAGTGGTTCTGACTGGTAATTAAACTCAACCCAACACGCTATGTCACCACCACAACACATACAGTAATATCATCGATCATCTCTGTAAGGATAGATAGATAGATAGATAGATAGATAGATAGATAGATAGATAGATAGATAGATAGATACCGAGATGTTACTGTTCATGTCCTCCTACTCTTTATTAATAAAGTTGTAATAATATTTTAGCGGTGTGTTGAATTCCAGGAGCTAAAGAACGAGCTGAGATCTACGAAGCATTTGAGAACATTTATCCGATCCTGAGAGGATTCAGGAAACAGTGAGGCCCACCCTCTGACGTCACTTCCTGTTCCCATGTAAATAGAAGGAATGAGTACTTCCTGTATATGTGTCTTATTTTGTGTTGTGGATGGTAATCAAGTCGGCTGTTTGCTTTAGAGTCTGTGTTCAATGTTTCATCCAAAATAAATGTCAGATTTCCAAAATGACTGCAAAGAAAACTTAAGTTAAATTCATATTTTATGTTTTATTGTTGAATATTTGCAGCTGTAGGCAGATTAGCATCAGTAAGGGATCCTATGTGTCTCATGAGTTATTATAACGTTGATTTCAAATAATATTGTATTAATATAGAAATATTGTTTAATAAAACAGTATATATAATTAAAGCTGCAAGCAGCGTTGGGCAGGACCTCGCACTCCACGCAACTCAGGGCGTGCTGCGGCCGCGTTGCGTGCCATCGTTACACCTGCGGAACACAACATGAAATTTCACGTAAATCAGCTCAAAATCACCACGCAGCGCTTACTTCCTGTTGCCAGTAGGTGGCGCTATCACTATGTCTGAATATTGTCATGTACACGTTTTCAGGGCGGGACTCTTATCAGACATGTGAAGTTTGGAGCCAATTGGACATGTACACTCAAGTTATAGCAAATTTGTGTTCCTTGGCGATACATCAAAATTTCCCGCCACGCTACAGACATGCCCCCTCACCGCAGTCATCACATATCATCAACAATGTGTTTTGCATTTTATAAGTAAATTTCAGCTGGATCTGATCATCCTGCTAGGAGTAGAACATGAAAGTATAAAACGTGTTACTTCCTGTTGCCACTAGGTGGCACTCTGACTATTACCGAATATTATCACATAGACGTGTTCAGGGCGGGACTCTTATCGAACATGTGAAGTTTCGTTGCAGTCGGATCATGTACGCAGAAGTTATTACGAATCCCTCTTTCATGGCGAAGGTTTGAAATTGGATGGCACGGGACGCCACGCCACGGGCACAATGTTGGACGAAAAAAACTGACTGCACTGACCAATTTTGAAGTAGATCCAATAGAACCTGTAGGAGGAGTTCGTTAAAATAGAAGACCACGGACTTCAAAATGGCCAACTTTGACGGCACGCCACGGACACGCCCTTCAACGTACAGTTACAAATTAAACAGCATTCATTCAGCGCCATGTTTTGACTGTACTGACCAATTTTGAAGCAGATCCGATAAATTCCCTAGGAGGAGTTCGTTCAAATACAAGCCCAAAAAGTGAAAATGACCACAAAATGATGAAAATTAAAAATTGAAATTGCAGACTTCCTGTGGGTTTTGGGGCATGGGTCCAAGAGGCTTTTCTGCTTCTTTTATCATGATACACATGCGTAGCAATTTCCGTATATGTGGGCCTTACGTGTCTTGGGGGCTGATTCTGATACGTTTGGCGGCGCCCGTGCACGGGGACAATGTCATATCGGTATTTTTGCTATATTTGAATTTTGTGCAAATTTTCATGGCATTTTGAGAATGTTGCGGGGCCAAATATGCGGTGGAAGTCCCAGAGGTATAATAATAATTCCTAGAGGAACAATAGGGTCCTTGCACTTGTTAGTGCTCGGTCCCTAAATATAATGTTGTAATATAGTATCAGATAATAAGTCAATAGTGTTAATGGGCTTCCGTACAGTGTTTTCTTCTTTCTCGGCTCCGCCCACATCTTGACGTCATTAGATAAACAAACCCGTCACGTGGTTGAGAGGAAACCGGAAGTGCGGACTCATCGTCTGTTGATCAAAACACAAACAGCGGAGTGAGCTCGAGCCTGTTCTCCAGCATATCGATCAGATAATAGATCAGGAGCAATATCAGAAGATCGATATGGAGCAGTAGAGAGTGCTCAGCCGATCACATACTTCGATCTAGCTTTATACAGTTAGCCGTTAGCTGGTAGCCGTTAGCCGTTAGCTCCATGGCGTCCTCAGCGGGGCTCCCCCCCCTCGGCCCGGGCCGTGCTGCTTCTTCCCCCTGCATTCACCCCACCGGCAAGCCGCCTCTCCGGCCCCACCACCCGCACCCGGCTCACTGCAGCCCGGCCTGTGTGATGGGGGAGTCGGTGGACGACGCGGAGGGTCTGTATGTGGCGGTGGAGCGGTGCCCGCTGTGCAGCACCTCCCGCCGCAGACTCACCTGCGCCCGCTGCGTCCAGGACGGAGACTTTGTTTACTTCGACGGGAGGAACACCGAGAGGTAGTCTGTCTGTAGTCTGTCTGTAGTCCTCTGTGTCTGTCTGTAGCCCTCTGTGTCTGTACTGTAGTCCTCTGTGTCTGTCTGTAGTCTGTCTGTAGCCCTCTGTGTCTGTACTGTAGTCCTCTGTGTCTGTCTGTAGTCCTCTGTGTCTGTCCTCAGTGTCTGTCTGTAGTCCTCTGTGTCTGTCTGTAATCCCCTGTGTCTGTCTGTAGTCCTCTGTCCTCTGTGTCTGTACTGTAGTCCTCTGTGTCTGTCTGTAGTCTGTCTGTAGCCCTCTGTGTCTGTACTGTAGTCCTCTGTCCTCTGTGTCTGTCTGTAGTCCTCTGTGTCTGTCTGTAGTCCTCTGTGTCTGTCCTCAGTGTCTGTCTGTAGTCCTCTGTGTCTGTCTGTAATCCCCTGTGTCTGTCTGTAGTCCTCTGTCCTCTGTGTCTGTACTGTAGTCCTCTGTGTCTGTACTGTAGTTCTCTGTGTCTGTACTGTAGTCCTCTGTGTCTGTACTGTAGTCCTCTGTCCTCTGTGTCTGTACTGTAGTCCTCTGTGTCTGTCTGTAGTCCTCTGTGTCTGTCCTCAGTGTCTGTCTGTAGTCCTCTGTGTCTGTCTGTAATCCCCTGTGTCTGTCTGTAGTCCTCTGTCCTCTGTGTCTGTACTGTAGTCCTCTGTGTCTGTCTGTAGTCTGTACTGTAGTTCTCTGTGTCTGTCTGTACTGTAGTTCCTCTGTGTCTGTACTGTAGTCCTCTGTGTCTGTACTGTAGTCCTCTGTGTCTGTACTGTAGTCCTCTGTCTGTACTTAGTCCTCTGTGTCTGTCTGTAGTTTTGTCTGTAGTCCTCTGTCCTCTGTGTCTGTCTGTAGTCCCCTGTGTCTGTCTGTAGTCCTCTGTCCTCTGTGTCTGTCTGTAGTCCTCTGTCCTCTGTGTCTGTCTGTAGTCCTCTGTCCTCTGTGTCTGTACTGTAGTCCTCTGTGTCTGTCTGTACTCCTCTGTGTCTGTCTGTAGTCCTCTGCCCTCTGTGTCTGTCTGTTGTCTGTCTGTAGTCCTCTGCCCTCTGTGTCTGTACTGTAGTCCTCTGTGTCTGTCTGTAGTCCTCTGTCCTCTGTGTCTGTCTGTTGTCTGTAGTCCTCTGTGTCTGTCTGTAGTCCTCTGTCCTCTGTGTCTGTACTGTAGTCCTCTGTGTCTGTCTGTAGTCCTCTGTGTCTGTACTGTAGTCCTCTGTGTCTGTCTGTTGTCTGTAGTCCTTTGTGTCTGTCTGTAATCCTCTGTGTCTGTCTGTCTGTTGTCTATCTGTAGTCCTCTGTGTCTGTACTGTAGTCCTCTGTGTCTGTCTGTTGTCTGTAGTCCTCTGTGTCTGTCTGTGGTCCTCTGTGTCTGTCTGTAGTCCTCTGTGTCTGTACTGTAGTCCTCTGTGTCTGTCTGTTGTCTGTAGTCCTCTGTGTCTGTCTGTAGTCCTCTGTCCTCTGTGTCTGTACTGTAGTCCTCTGTGTCTGTCTGTAGTCGTCTGTGTCTGTACTGTAGTCGTCTGTGTCTGTCTGTAGTCGTCTGTGTCTGTACTGTAGTCCTCTGTGTCTGTACTGTAGTCCTCTGTCCGCTGTGTCTGTACTGTAGTCCGCTGTGTCTGTCTGTAGCCCTCTGTGTCTGCCTGTAGTCCTCTGTCCTCTGTGTCTGTACTGTAGTCATCTGTGTCTGTACTGTAGTCCTTTGTGTCTGTCTGTAGTCCTCTGTGTCTGTACTGTAGTCTGTCTGTTGTCTGTCTGTAGTCCTCTGTCCTCTGTGTCTTGTCTGTAGTCCTCTGTGTCTGTACTGTAGTCCTCTGTGTCTGTCTGTTGTCTGTCTGTAGTCCTCTGTGTCTGTCTGTAGTCCTATGTCCTCTGTGTCTTGTCTGTAGTCCTCTGTGTCTGTCTGTAGTCCTGTGTGTCTGTCTGTTGTCTGTCTGTAGTCCTCTGTGTCTGTACTGTAGTCCTCTGTGTCTGTCTGTAGTCCCCTGTGTCTGTCTGTAGTCATCTGTCCTCTGTGTCTGTCTGTAGTCCTCTGTCTTGTCTGTAGTCCTCTGTGTCTGTACTGTAGTCCTCTGTGTCTGTCTGTTGTCTGTCTGTATTGTCCTCTGTGTCTGTCTGTAGTCCTATGTCCTCTGTGTCTTGTCTGTAGTCCTCTGTGTCTGTCTGTAGTCCTGTGTGTCTGTCTGTTGTCTGTCTGTAGTCCTCTGTGTCTGTCTGTAGTCCTATGTCCTCTGTGTCTGTACTGTAGTCCTCTGTGTCTGTCTGTAGTCCCCTGTGTCTGTCTGTAGTCATCTGTCCTCTGTGTCTGTCTGTAGTCCCCTGTGTCTGTCTGTAGTCCTCTGTCCTTTGTGTCTGTACTGTAGTCCTCTGTGTCTGTACTGTAGTCCTCTGTGTCTGTACTGTAGTCGTCTGTGTCTGTCTGTAGTTGTCTGTGTCTATACTGTAGACGGCTGTGTCTGTCTGTAGTCCCCTGTCTGTCTGTAGTCCTCTGTCCTCTGTGTCTGTACTGTAGTCCCCTGTGTCTGTACTGTAGTCCTCTGTGTCTGTTGTCTGTACTGTAGTCCTCTGTGTCTGTCTGTAGTCCTCTGTGTCTGTCTGTTGTCTGTCTGTAGTCCTCTGTGTCTGTACTGTAGTCCTCTGTGTCTGTCTGTAGTCCCCTGTGTCTGTCTGCAGTCCTCTGTGTCTGTCTGTAGTCCTCTGTCCTCTGTGTAGTCCTCTGTGTCTGTCTGTAGTCCTCTGTGTCTGTCTGTTGTCTGTCTGTAGTCCTCTGTCCTCTGTGTAGTCCTCTGTGTCTGTACTGTAGTCCTCTGTGTCTGTGTCTTTATAGAGGTAAAGTTTATAATTGATTGAATTTGTTGTTAATGAGGATTCATTTATTCAGTCTGTGGAGAAAAAATGTTTTCGTCTTTTTCTTTTAAGGAAATAATATAAACAAATAAATAATATCTTACTGGTCCTGTTTATTGATAATAATGTTATTGATCTGTTTTCAGGTACATTGAGAAGTTGGAGCGACTGAAGAAGCTGAAGGAAGAGAAAGAGCAGCTGCAGCAGAGGTCACATAGAGTCATACAGTGCTTTATAATCTGATTTATAATCTGAATGCTGCTGACTAACTTTAGAGCGTTCTGTCCTCAGAGTCCTGCAGACCATGGACAGGAAGCTGCAGGCCGATGAGATGGTGAGTCTCTGAGATCCACATGAAACCAGATTCAGACTGACCTCCAGTTCCAAATGTCTCACTGTTTGTTTGTATGTCTTAACGCCGGAATTACTGCAACCTTTGACCTATGGAAGCTGATACCCACAATGCAACAGTGCTGTACTTTTGTTCGTTGGTGATTTATTACTAAAAACTGATCTGAAACTGATCAATAATGCTTGTTTCCTTTCAGAAATGGAAGATCATGTCCTGTAAGATGAAGATTGAGCAGCTGAAGGAGGCGGTCGCCGCGGGCAACGAGGAGGTGAAGAGCGGTGAGTCCGAGAATCTGCAACAAGAACATCTTTAACTGTTACTGACAATACTGACCACAGCCTGTTACTCCTCTTCATCCTCATCCTCATACTCCTTCTCCTCCTGTTACCCCTCTTCATCCTCATCCTCATACTCCTTCTCCTCCTGTTACTCCTCTTCATCATCATCCTCTTCCTACTCCTCCTGTTACTCCTCTTCATCATCATCCTCTTCCTACTCCTCCTGTTACTCCTCTTCATCATCATCCGCTTCCTACTCCTCCTGTTACTCCTCTTCATCATCATCATTCTCTTCCTACTCCTCCTGTTGTTCCTCCTCCTCCTCCTCCTGCAGATAAGGAGCTCCTCCTGCGCTCTCAGGAGGACAGTCAGCGACTGCAGCGGCGGGCCGGCCGCCACCAAGAGAAACGGGATAAAATCGAGCGTCACAACCGTCGTCTGGGTGACCTGCTGGAGAGACGCAGCCGTGAGCTACAGACCAGACTGAGTCAGCTGGCAGCTCTGAGGCGAGACCACATCCTGGAGCTCACGGCCCACATCTTCCCCACACAGGAGGAGAAACAGGGCAGCAGGTGAGACTGCGTCAACTGACCGCTTTAACTGACTGCTGCACTGCTTTATACAACTGACTGCTGCACCGCTTTACACAACTGACTGCTGCACTGCTTTATACAACTGACTGCTGCACCGCTTTACACAACTGACTGCTGCACTGCTTTATACAACTGACTGCTGCACCGCTTTACACAACTGACTGCTACACTGCTTTATACAACTGACTGCTACACCGCTTTAACTAACTGCTGCACTGCTTTATACAACTGACTGCTACACTACTTCACACAACTGACTACTGCACTGCTTTATACAACTGACTGCTACACTACTTTATACAACTGACTGCTACACTGCTTTAACTGACTGCTACACTGCTTTATACAACTGACTGCTACGCTGCTTTATACAACTGACTGCTACACTGCTTTATACAACTGACTTCTGCACCACTTTAACTGACTGCTACACTACTTTATACAACTGACTGCTACACTACTTTATACAACTGACTGCTACACTGCTTTAACTGACTGCTGCACTGCTTTATACAACTGACTGCTACACTACTTTATACAATTGACTTCTGCACGGTGTCGGACAGTGCCATCGTCAGTCGGCATCGGCGTTCATTTTGGCCGATTGGACATGTAGAATCGGCCAGTGGCTATCGGCCTCAGTGACCAATCTGATTGGTGGAGTGCTAGCCGAGAAAACTGGAAGTGACGATGGTAAACATACTACGCCAATGCCAGTATCTTGTTATTAATTCAATTCTATTCAATTTTGTTTGTATAGCGCCAATTCATAACAGAAGTTATCTCAGGACACTTTTCAAATAGAGTAGGTCTAGACCAAACTCTTTGAAACATTATTTACAGAGACCCAACAGTACCACCATGAGCAAGCACTTGGTGACAAGGGCAAGGAAAAACTGCCTGTTAAAAGGCAGAAAACAGATCCTTTGGCTCCAGGTGGGTGGTCGTCTGCCTCGACCAGTTGGGGTGAGAGAGAGAGAGACACACAGACACACAGCAGTATTGGCAATGGCAATCTAGCAGGACCATGGCAGGAGGCTCCACCAGGATCGATAAGAACCTGTGAGACGAGAAAGCACAAGAACTCCGGGGAAGAAGTAAAGTTAGTAACATACATTAGTCTAGGCCTATAGCAGCATAACTAAGGGATGGTTCAGGACTCACCTGATCCAGCCCTAACTATAAGCTTTATCAAAGAGGAATGTCTTAAGCCTACTCTTGAATGTGGTGAGGGTGTCTGCCTCCCAAACCACAACTTGAAGCTGGTTCCACAGGAGAGGAGCTTGGTAACTGAAGGCTCTGGCTCCTGTTCTACTTTTAGAGACTATAAGAACCACAAGTAGCCCAGCATTCAGAGAACGTAGTGTTCTAGAGGGGTAATAGGGTACTATGAGCTCTTTAAGATATGAAGGGGCCTGACCATGAAGAGCTTTATAGGTGAAGAGGAAGATTTTAAATTATATTCTACATTTTACAGGGAGCCAATGCAGAGAAGCTAGTACAGGAGAGATGTGATCTCTTTTTCTAGTTCCTGTCAGTACTCGTGCTGCAGCGTTCTGAATTAATTGGAGCATTTTAATGGACTTATTGGGGCAACCTGATAATAAAGAGTTGCAGTAATCCAGCCTTGAAGTAACAAATGCATGGATTAGTTTTTCTGCATCTGTCTGTGATAGGATGTGTCTAATTTTTGTAATATTACGTAAATGAAAGAAGGCAGTCCTAGAGGTCTGCTTCATGTGGGAGTTAAAAGACAAATCCTGATTTGACAAAGATAACGCCAAGATTCCTGACAGTGGTGCTAGAGGCCAAGTTAATGCCATCTAGAGTAACTATATATCACAGTGAGTCTCTAAGGTTTTTGGGGCCAAGAACAAGAATTTTGGTTTTCTCTGGGTTTAACATCACAAAATTGCAGCTCATCCAGGATTTTATGTCCTTAAGACATGTTTGTAATTCAGATAATTGATTAATTTCATCGGGCTTTATCGATAGATATAACTGCGTATCATCTGCATAACAGTGAAAGTTAATGGAGTGATTCCTAATAATGTTGCCTAAAGGGAGCATATATAAAGTAAGTAGTATTGGTCCAAGTACAGAACCTTGTGGAACTCCATGACTAACTGTAGTATTTATTGAAGATTCATAGTTAACATGTACAAACTGCGAACGATCTGATAAATATGACTTAAACCAGCTTAGTGCGGTTCCTTTAATGCCAATTTGATGCTCAAGTCTCTGTAAAAGAATATTATGGTCAGTGGTGTCAAATGCAGCACTAAGATCTAATAATACAAGTACAGAGACAAGTCCATTGTCAGAAGCTATCAGAAGGTCATTATTAACTTTAACCAGAGCTGTCTCTGTGCTATGATGAACTCTAAATCCTGACTGAAAATCCTCAAATAAACTATTGTTATGTAGAAAGTCACACAACTCTTTGGCGACTACCTTCTCCAGAATCTTAGAGAGGAAGGGGAGGTTAGAGATTGGTCTATAGTTGGCTAAAACCCCTGGGTCAAGAGTGGGCTTTTAAAGAAGGGGTTCAATTACAGCTACTTTAAAGGACTGTGGTACATATCCTGATAATAAAGAAAGAGTAATCATATCCAGTAAAGAAGTGCCAATTAAGGGAACAACTTCTTTAAGCAGCCTAGTTGGGATCGGGTCTAATAGACAGGTTGATGGCTTCGATGAAGAAATGATTGAAGTTAACTGATGAAGATCGATAGCAGAAAAACAGTCTAAATATATATCTAAGTTTACATTAGCAAAAGTCCGTGAACTTGGAGAGCCACTGATAACTGTTGATGGCAGTTGGTGATTAATTTTTTCTCTAATGGTAATAATTTTATTATAGAAGAAGCTCATGAAGTCATTGCTACTTAAGCTTATGGGGATATGTGGCTCAATAGAGCTGTGACTCTCTGTCAGCCTGGCTACAGTGCTGAAGAGGAACCTAGGGTTATTCTTATTTTCTTCTATTATTAGCCATCGTATTTTGCGTTCAGCGAGTAATGACAGTAACGATCCTTCTTCACTACTATCAACACTCTGATGAAAACAATGACTGACGCCAGTGTGCTCTGTGTTTACTAGGTCTAGAGTGATCCGTCATTTCCGGTTTTCATTTTTTTTGGGCGACAACACAGATTAGCGCCGCCTGCTGTTATGGGGACGTATTACGCCTCGCGCACACGTGGAACGTACTTGTTTTTGTGCAGAAACTAAAACCTTGTCTCGCTTTGAGTGTCTTCTGCCCCTGTGTTTGTGGCTCAGAGACCCCGCAGATGTGGTGGCGGAGTGCGACCCCGCGTTGACCTCCAGCACGGTGAGTGAGCTTGCTGAAGCGCGGAGAACCACCTACCTGTCAGGACGTTGGATCTGGGACGACCAGAACGGAGAGACCAGCATCAGCATCACGGGACCCCCCGTCACCCTGCCCAGCAACGGAGACTGCTCCGCCTACTACAGCTGGGTGGAGGAGAAGAGCACCAATCAGGGCCCAGGTGAGGAGGGAGGGGCGGAGCTTCAGTCCAACCAACAGTTAAAACCTCATTGTAATTACATTGAATCTGACCTCTGACCTCTGACCTCCGACCTACGCAGAGCTGGACCACATCAACCCAGCTCACACCATCAGCGCCGCTCTCTGTTACGCCACGCAGCTCGTCACCATCCTGTCTCACATTCTGGACGTAAACCTGCCCAAGAAGCTCTGCAACAGGTGAGACAGGAAGGGCCTGCTGCTGCCTTCACTGCCAGCTCAGAGTCTGGAAATCACAGCATCTGATCTTTGTTTGTTTGTTCCTTAGTGAGTTCTGTGGAGAAAATCTGAGCCGCTACCGCTTCACCAGAGCTCTGAGCAAACTCAACACCAACATCCTCCACCTGTGCTTCTCCCAGGTAACACACACACACACAGACATTTTGTTCCACAGATTCTGGTTAGACAGTAATTTAATGAGAATTGGTTCTCACCGTATCTTGTTAAATAAAGTAAAATAAAATAATAAGTTAATCATTTGTACATCTGTTGATACTTTATGAACCACACACTTAGTGTTCATGTATCCACTGGTTTCATTCTATCAGTGGTTGTTTTCAATATTTCGTCTGTTTGTTCGTCCAAACTTAAGGCTGCTTCTGTGCCCAATAATTATTTGTGTTTTGTTGTTGTATTAGTGGTGCAGACATTCAGAGGGGAGGAGCATAAACAAAATAACACAATAAAACAAACAACTTGATTTTTGTTTAATAACAAAAAAACAACAATCTGTTGATTCTAAACCGAATCAGAAAAAACAAACAGAAGACACTCAGACTGTTTCCTGTTTCCTGTTTCCTGTCCAGCATGTGGACAGCGAGAAGCTCCACCCCCATCACACTCTGAGAAACATCATGTTTCTGGTTTCCCCCGACAACGACAACCTGGGCAGGTGAGGTCCTCCACCAATCAGAGAGGGGCTGATGTTTATGTTTTTATCTGACCTCCGCCTCTCTGGTTCTGATTCAGGACTGGCCCATTCGAGGTGAGCGCCGACCTGGAGGAGTCGATGGAGTTTGTGGAGCCGGAGGCGGCAGGGCCGGCCGAGGAGAGTGGAGATGAAGCGGTGACGGACGAGGAGACAGACCTGGGGACTGACTGGGAGACGGTTCCCAGTCCACGATTCTGTGACATCCCATCACAGGTATGACACCTGGTAGACCGGGTTCAGGTTGCCTCGTCAAGTGTAAGAAGTCTTCAGCTGTCTTGTTTTGTCCGTTCGGTTAGTGAGTAGTTGGACGTGATTGGTTGGGGACATTAATTCATTGATTGTCCAAGAACTGAGACCATAGTAAATGTAGTAAAGCTTCTATATAAAACAAAAAAATAATAAGGTTCACTGCACTAGAGACTAAAAACAATGGGCGATACAGCCCACCAGACTCCATTCAGAAAACCAGGGATCTTACCTCTAAGATAACTAACACACGTCAAACTGATTAGAAACACAATAAAACTCCTTAAAAGTTTGGAATGGAAACAAACCACAGAGAGGCTGCGTTACAACACAGGCTGAGGGAGAGAGACACCATGTGACTCTGTATATAGAGAATATAATGTTTAATATCTCATATATGAGCTTTAAAGGTCAATATACTGAAAGTGTAAATAAAATTTATTGTCAGAAGAACGTGTTTCAGTTTGTCATGTTTTAATGTGACTGAGGCCACAGTGTTTAAATAATTCATATATTGCTCTTTTTTTCCTACAGTCCATGGATCTTTCCCAGAGTGCATTGCAGGTTTCACAGCCCGCTGCTAACACTGGGGGGATGATCTCATCCGCTGCCGCCTCAGTCACTTCCTGGTTCAGAGCGTACACCGGCCAGCGCTGATTCACCTATACCAGAACCTGTCCAGATTGGACTGGTGCAGATCTGGAACTCCTGAAGGTCTCAGACTTTTGGTCTGGCTTTGGACTGGACAGGTATCAAAGGTCAGAGGTCAGGCTGGCAGGTCAGAGATCAGCAGATCCAGATGCCTGGAGCTCTGAAGAGCCAATCACAGATTATCAAGATCAGGTACTCCATGGTCCAGGTACAGTTTGGTTCAGGTTCACTAGGCTCCTCGTTGAGCATCTGAACTGTTACATTTTTTTTAATTTGAATTCCCCTAAACTTGAATGTTATCAGCTTATTAACATGTAATTAATGGGTTATAATGACCATAATGTGGTAATTCCTGTTTATGACTATAAGGATTGTGGTATCAGATCAAACTCCGTATTGAATTCAACAGTGATAGATCAATTCTAAACTTCATATATATATATATATATATATATATAGCTCATAAAACACATCTGTAATGGTTCCCACCAAATGTGAATATTTTCCCTTTAATCTGTGTCACTGCAGGAGTTAGAGCCCACAATAATCAGCTGTTTCTGTGATTTAATGTTAATAAACGGATCAATATGATGTTGAAAGAACAACATCATGATGATCGATTTATAAAGTCTGAATTCAGACTGTCGGTCTGTCTGTAAGACGACGAGCAAACTGCTTTTAAAATGCTTGTTTTCTGAATGGAGTTTGGTTGATCAGGGCTAAGCTAACTTAACCTTGGTGGCTCTCAGCAGACGGGTTGGGAGGAGAGAGAGAAGATAAATCCACTTTTTAATCCCAGAGGTTTCAGTAATAAACAATGTGAACGTCTCCAGATCAGCTCAGGATCAGGTGGGACTCTGGCTGTTTATGGGCTCTCTCCTGCAGAGCTCCCCGGGCTCCAGCAGCTGTCTGTGTGCAGCAGCAGCTCTGTCTCTCCCTCCTCCTCACAGACTGCAAACACCCGACATACGATACAACGACCACCTCAAATGTGTAAATTTTACACTCCCACAAAAACGTGAATGAGGTTTTATGTGTGTTTGTCATTCACATCCGCTGCCGCGAATTCGTGTCCATTCACGTCTTGGATTCTGTATGGAATCTTACTTTCGTGAATAATTTTATTAATCACGTTTGATGGGAATAATAAACAATACAAAATAATAATAACGTGCATAATAATATAAAATCTGTCTTTATAGGAGAAATTATAATTATTGAACATTAATATCTGTTATAAACATTTATTACATGTTTATATAAAAAAAGAGCAAAGAATCATCTTTCACCACCTGTCGACCTGCCAGCCTGTCTCTCTGCCTATCTGTCTGTCGGTCTGTCTCACCACAAAGGGAAAGTTTCTGTTTTTATTTTTATTTTCTCTTTTTGTTTATTTTTTCTTCGTTTGTGAAACAAAGACAACAAATGGACTTTCTGCTGTGATGACAGCAGCGCTAACAAACTCATAGCAGTTGCCATGGCGATAACGAACCCTGTTTATACACACACACAGACACACACACACACACAGAGCGGACTGAATGTGGTTCAGGTTGGTGGTTTACCTGTCCTACAGGTGAGTGTCAGCCTGATGGAGAGAACTGGTTCTACACTGATGTGTTTAAAGGACGTGTGACATTTTCTGTTTCCATGAAAAGATTGAAATGAAATAAAATCCTGTTTTCTGGTTTTCAATGTTTGTTTCTGAATCCTTTTAAATATAAAATCAGTTCTGCTGATTAAACGAGTGCCCCATTTACTCAGGTACTGTACTCAATTACACATTTGAGATACTTGTACTTTACTCAAGTATTTCTACTTGTACTGCATTTATCTATCAGCTCTAGTTACTGCTGAAGAGTTTATTATTTGAGGATTTTCATTCAGGTTCATCACAGTTCAGAGACAGCTCTGGTTAAAGTTAATAATGACCTTTTGATTGCTTCTGACAATGGACTTGTCTCTGTACTTGTATTATTAGATCTTAGTGCTGCATTTGACACCATTGACGATATTCTTTTACAGAGACTTGAGCATCGAATCGGCATTAAAGGAACCGCACTAAGCTGGTTTAAGTCATATTTATCAGATCGTTCACAGTTTGTACATGTTAACGATTAATCTTCAATAAATACTACAGTTAGTCATGGAGTTCCACAAGGTTCTGTACTTGGACCAATACTATTTACTTTATATATGCTCCCTTTAGTTAACTTTCACTGTTATGCAGATGATACGCAGTTATATCTGTCGATCAAGCCCGATGAAATTAATCAATTATCTAAATTACAAACATGTCTTAAGGACACAAAATCCTGGATGAGCTGCAATTTTCTGATGTTAAACTCAGAAAAAAATAAAATTCTTGTTCTTGGCCCCAGAAACCTTAGAGACTCACTGTTTAAAGATATAGTTACTCGAGATGGCATTACCTTGGCCTCTAGCACCACTGTCAGGAATCTTGGAGTTATCTTTGATCAGGATTTGTCTTTTAACTCCCACATAAAGAAAACCTCCAGGACTGCCTTCTTTCATTTACGTATTTTTACAAAAATTAGACACATCCTATAACAGACAGATGCAGAAAAACTAATCCATGCATTTGTTACTTCAAGGCTGGATTACCGCAACTCTTTATTATCAGGTTGCCCCAATAAATCCATTAAAACGCTCCAATTAATTCAGAACGCTGCAGCACGAGTACTGACAGGAACTAGAAAAAGAGATCACATCTCTCCTGTACTAGCTTCTCTGCAATGGCTCCCTGTAAAATGTAGAATAGAATTTAAAATTCTCCTCCTCACCTATAAAGCTCTTCATGGTCAGGCCCCTTCATGATTCCTAATAATGTTGCCTAAAGGGAGCATATATAAAGTAAATAGTATTGGTCCAAGTACAGAACCTTGTGGAACTCCATGACTAACTGTAGTATTTATTGAGGATTCATCGTTAACATGTACAAACTGCGAGCGATCTGATAAATATGACTTAAACCAGTTTAGAGCTCATATTACCCTATAACCCCTCTAGAACACTACGTTCTCTGAATGCTAGGCTACTTGTGGTTCCCATAGTCTCTAAAAGTAGAACAGGAGCCAGAGCCTTCAGTTACCAAGCTCCTCTCCTGTGGAACCAGCTTCCAGTTGTGGTTCGGGAGGCAGACACCCTCTCCACATTCAAGAGTAGGCTTAAGACATTCCTCTTTGGTGAAGCTTATAGGGCTGGATCAGGTGAGTCCTGAACCATCCCTTAGTTATGCTGCTATAGGCCTAGACTATCGGGGGATTTCCCATGGTGCACTGAGCTCCACTCTTCCTCTCTCTTTCTGCACTCATTCATGTCCCATTAATGCATGTTACTAACTCCACTTCTTCCCCGGAGTTCTTGTGCTTTCTCGTCTTGCAGGTTCTTATCGATCCTGGTGGGCCTCCTGCCATGGTCCTGCTAGATTGCCATTGCCAATACTGTTGTTGCTGTGCCCCTGTCTATCTGTCTGTCTGTCTCTCTGTTTCTCTCTCCCTCTGTCTCTCTCTGTCTCTCTCTGTCTCTCTCGCTCTCTCTCTCTCTCTCTCTCTCTCTCTCACCCCAACTGGTCAAGACAGACGACCACCCACCTAGAGCTGAATGATCTGTCCTAGGTTTCTGCCTTTTAACAGGCAGTTTTTCCTTGCTCTTGTCGCCAAGTGCTTGTTCATGGTGGTACTGTTGGGTCTCTGTAAATAATGTTATAAAGAGTTCGGTCTAGACCTGCTCTATTTGAAAAGTGTCCTGAGATAACTTCTGTTATGAATTGGCGCTATACAAATAAAATTGAATTGAATAGAGGGAGCAGGTCCTCTTCATGTCAAACCACCATGTTTCTACAGTACCTAAGAACAGACAAACCAAACACTGGATCTAGATAGACTTTCAGGGCCATCGTGGTTTCTCCTACACACTCAAAAGTTCTTTGTCCTTACCAGGTTGTCGGATACAGACACCAGTGGAGTTCAGTTAGTGGCAATCTGCAACTTCACCCCTAGATGTCACTGATTTCCTCACACTGGAGCTTTAAGTGGTGTTTAACAGACACAAAGTGGCTGTGCACGTGAGTGTGCATGTGACAGTTTAGTGTACAGATCCTCTGAGCTGTGAGCTCTTTGTGTGTGAGCTGCAGATTAGCATATTAGCTATGTTTGGTATGCAGCGCTGCAGAGAAACTGATCCCACTGAGGGACCCTGAACCGGAGTCGAGACCAGTTTATTACTGAAGAGCTTCAACAGATTGAAAAATTTTAAGGTTCAAAAGGTCAGAAGATTAAAAGAAGTCAAACTAAAAAAAATGGCATTGCAGCTCAAGAAATCAAAAAACACTTTAACTTCACAAAATTACAAACAGAATGTTGAAGATCTAAAGATCTGATTTAAATTAACAGAGTCGCTGTAGGTACCAGATCTGCTAGTGGTCCTGAGTTTACAGATTATGTAACATATTAAAATGTTAGGATTGGCTACGTATCAGAAAGTGCAAATTAAGCTCTCAGCACACTGTGACTCTGTAGTCCTCCATCGGTCTGTGGAGCTCTGAACCTCCAGTTGGGCTTTATGGTCATCTCCATGTTGGTGTTTAGCAGCCAGAGGAGGTGATGTACTGGGAGTTGAGCTGCTCTCATTGGCTGCTCTTGGTTTGAACTCGTCTGTAACAGGAAAAAACGGCGGCTCCCCTTAAATGTTCTTTATTGAGTCTGTTTGCTGTGGAGGCCTCCCTGTGTCTATATTAATGATCAGCTATACATACTGTCAGCTAGAGTGAACTAAACCAAACCTCAATTTGGGGCTTTTTCTCTTTATTAGATGGTGAACATAGACAGGAAGGGGGGTAGAGAAAGAGGGGATGACACGCAGCAAAGGGCCACAGGTCGGACTTGAACCCATGCAAGGATTCAGGTGCCCCAGTAATATCATTGTTAATATTATTAATCAAAGACAAAATACAGACCTTTGCCCTGTATCCACAGCACTGACGTACCACTCTAAATTATAATTATTGTGGAACTAATTTCGGTAGAATTGTATAAAATGTTACACACACGTGCAATGTGGCCCTGACCTGTGCCCTGTATCTACAGCACTTCCTTATGTAACAATAATATCATTATCATCGTTACTATTATTTGAATCAACTAATTACAGACCACTGAACTTTGTCTATAGCACTGACTTATGGCTCTATATAGATCTATTTGGCTCTACATGTCTATATATCACTGTGTATTTATATTTGATTTCTGTTCCTGAAGGAAAAAAAAATTCTGTGAGTGGACTCATTCATCCTGCTGAAGATTAGTGTGTGTGTGTGTGTGTGTGTGTGTGTGTTTGTGTGTGTTTGTGTGTGTGTATATAAGCTGTTGGACTTTAGTTCAGCTCCAGGTTTTGGTTTCAGCATGAGGTCCACTCTGTTTCTGCTTCTGTTCTTTGATCTGTCTCCAGCCATCAGTCGGGGACAGTTGGAGGAGGAAGGTGGCATGGGGACGGTGGTCCCTCCGGAGCTCCCTCCGGAGCTCCCCGTCCTTTGGGATGAGCTGTGGGGTTTAAAGGAGCTGGTCCTGAGCCTGAAGGCGGTGGAGGTAGCGCAGCGTCAGGCCCTGCGGAGCATGGAGAGTCGGCTGAGGGACGGGGAGGTGGAGGCTGAGCAGCAGAAACGCAGCCTGGATGCGCTGCAGGATATGGCAGTCCGGCAGAGGGAGCAGCTGAGGGACTCTGAGGAGAGGACGGAGGCTGACAAGAAGCTTCTAAACCAGCTGACCTCAGGTTTGAGGGGGAGGCTGGAGGAACTGGAGGAGGAGAGCAGAGGTGGGTCAAATAATCATACAGTACGGTGGCCCTGAGGTTTAAAACAACTTCTGTTTTCTGTTGATGTGAAGTCCATGTACTCCACCTCCGTCTGTGAAAGTTTCTGCATCACTGGAGTTTTTAATCTCTTCAAATCTATTGATATTAATCAATTAATAAAGCAGTGCGCTGATGGCATAGTGGCTTTATTGTTTCAAATAAAAATAAATCATAGTATCAACTTCCAGGCAAAGACAACTGATGCACCAGTTCAGTTGGACGGGTCAAACAGAGCAGCTCTCGACTCCTTACAGAATGATTTACAAACAGTTCCCGCCATCATACTGCCTCTCTCTGTTGTTCAGGTAAAACAACCACAGCCCTTCCCGGTGCATCCTGATGAATAAAAACATGGTGGAGGGAAGTGACTTCCATTAAAAAAAATAATGTAATTAAATAATTAAAAAATAATTTACTTCTTTAAGCGTTTGTATCAGAAACAAACTCCTCAGAGAGAAGTCAGGTTCAGTCGTTTCCTTAGAGTCTGTTTATTGATCTGACGGAGGTTCATATTGATCATAATCAGAATATTAGTGTCAACACATCCAGTCAGTGTGTCTGTCTTCCAGCTCGAGCACTCGAGTTTTCAGCTCAAGTGTTGACGCTTTGGTCCCAACTGAACACCAGTGAGGGTGCCGTGGAGGAGCTACAGAAGAAGAACACAGGTCTCAGTCTGCCTTTCATATTTCATATATAGCCAGCAGTTACTGGATCAACACCAGTATGGACATTGGTTTGTCTCTGGTTGCCACGGTAACCTTGTGCTGGTGACTCCACAGCATTGGCGGCGGAGCTGCCATTCCTGCAGACGAGACTGAGGGCGAGCGAGAGCACGGTGGAGCAGCTGAGGAGGAAGAGCACAGGTCATCAAACACATTAAATACATTAAATTAATTTACTGATAATTTATTTCTTAACATATTGTATTTCATATATTTTGTTGAATGTATTGTATTTAAACCGAGCGATGAGGTAAAGAAACGTTGTGTTTTCAGTCCTGGCAGTCAGACTGTGTAACACTGAGAGTCTGATGGAGGAGCTGATGAAACAGACCTCAGGTCAGATTCATTTCTCTGTTATTGATTATCTATAATCCGCATATCAACATGCAATAACTGCTTAATAACAGACTATAATACAGTTTTAAGTCTTAATGAATGTGTTAACATCTGGAACTGTTAATGAATGATAATATAACTTAAAATAAGTCTTCATAGGAGAAATGATGAAATAACATACATTAATAAACACTTAAATATGTTTTTATATCTGCCTATAAAACAATAAAGACATTAAAGAGTTGATGATGATTTAATTTTGGCTGGCAGAACAGAAAGTTCTATGTTTTCTAGGAAAGTTTTGGATTTAAATGTTGAACTATGTTGAAATTGATAATCTTGTCGATAGTGCTACAGGCTCACTACGATCAACATTAGACTCTATCGCTCCTATAAAAAGGAAATTATTAAAACATAGGAGACTAGCACCTTGGTATAACCACCAAACCCGCCAGTTAAAACAAATAGCTAGAAAATCTGAAAGGAAATGGCGCTCTTCCAAATTATCCGAATATCGCTCAATTTGGCAAGATAATCTTAAAACCTATAGAAAGGCCCTCCGTAATGCCAGAGGAGCCTATTACTCAGCACTAATAGAAGAAAATAAGAACAACCCTAGGTTCCTCTTCAGCACTGTAGCCAGGCTGACAGAGAGTCACAGCTCTATCGAGCCACATATCCCCATAAACTTAAGTAGCAATGACTTCATGAGCTTCTTCTATAATAAAATTATTACTATTAGAGAAAAAATTAATCACCAACTGCCATCAACAGTTATCAGTGGCTCTCCAAGTTCAGGGACTTCTGTCAATGTAAACTTAGATATATATTTAGACTGTTTTTCTGCTATCGATCTTCATCAGTCGGCTGACACCCTCACCACATTCAAGAGTAGGCTTAAGACATTCCTCTTTGATAAAGCTTATAGTTAGGGCTGGATCAGGTGAGTCCTGAACCATCCCTTAGTTATGCTGCTATAGGCCTAGACTATCGGGGGATTTCCCATGGTGCACTGAGCTACTCTCTTCCTCTCTCTTTCTGCACTCATTCATGTCCCTTTAATGCATGTTACTAACTCCACTTCTTCCCCGGAGTTCTTGTGCTTTCTCGTCTCGCAGGTTCTCATGGATCCTGGTGGAGCCTCCTGCCATGGCCCTGCTTGACTGCCATTGCCAATACTGTTGTTGCTGTGCACCTGTCTGTCTGTCTGTCGCTCTCTCTCGCTCTCTCTCTCTCTCTCTCTCTCACCCCAACTGGTCGAGACAGACGACCACCCACCTAGAGCCGAAGGATCTGTCCTAGGTTTCTGCCTTTTAACAGGCAGTTTTTCCTTGCCCTTGTCGCCAAGTGCTTGCTCATGGTGGTACTGTTGGGTCTCTGTAATTAATGTTAAAGAGTTCGGTCTAGACCTGCTCTATTTGAAAAGTGTCCTGAGATAACTTCTGTTATGAATTGGCGCTATACAAATAAAATTGAATTGAAATAAAAAATTTAATCAGTTAACTTCAATCATTTCTTCATCGAAGCCATCAACCTGTCTATTAGACCCGATCCCAACTAGGCTGCTTAAAGAAGTTGTTCCCTTAACTGGCACTTCTTTACTGGATATGATTAATCTTTCTTTATTATCAGGATATGTACCACAGTCCTTTAAAGTAGCTGTAATTAAACCCCTTCTTAAAAAGTCCACTCTTGACCCAGGGGTTTTAGCCAACTATAGACCGATTTCTAACCTCCCCTTCCTCTCTAAGATTCTGGAGAAAGTAGTCGCCAAAGAGTTGTGTGACTTTCTACATAACAATAGTTTATTTGAGGATTTTCAGTCAGGATTTAGAGTTCATCACAGCACAGAGACAGCTCTGGTTAAAGTTAATAATGACCTTCTGACTGCTTCTGACAATGGACTTGTCTCTGTACTTGTATTATTAGATCTTAGTGCTGCATTTGACACCATTGACCATGATATTCTTTTACAGAGACTTGAGCATCAAATTGGCATTAAAGGAACTGCCCTAAGCTGGTTTAAGTCATACTTATCAGATCGTTCTCAGTTTGTACATGTTAACGATGAATCCTCCATAAATACTAAAGTTAGTCATGGAGTTCCACAAGGTTCTGTACTTGGACCAATACTATTTACTTTATATATGCTCCCTTTAGGCAACATTATTAGGAATCACTCCATTAACTTTCACTGTTATGCAGATGATACGCAGTTATATCTATCAATCAAACCCAATGAAATTAATCAATTATCTAAATTAATTACAAACATGTCTTACGGACATAAAATCCTGGATGACCTGCAATTTTCTAATGTTAAACTCAGAAAAAAACGAAATTCTTGTTCTTGGCCCCAAAAACCTTAGAGACTCATTGTCTAAAGATATAGTCACTCTAGATGGCATTAACTTGGCCTCTAGCACCACTGTCAGGAATCTTGGAGTTATCTTTGATCAGGATTTGTCATTTAACTCCCACATAAAGCAGACCTCTAGGACCGCCTTCTTTCATTTACGTAATATAAAAAAAATTAGACACATACTATCACAGACAGATGCAGAAAAACTAATCCATGCATTTGTTACTTCAAGGCTGGATTACTGCAACTCTTTATTATCAGGTTGCCCCAATAAGTCCATTAAAACGCTCCAATTAATTCAGAACGCTGCAGCACGAGTACTGACAGGAACTAGAAAAAGAGATCACATCTCTCCTGTACTAGCTTCTCTGCATTGGCTCCCTATAAAATGTAGAATTGAATTTAAAATCCTCCTCCTCACCTATAAAGCTCTTCATGGTCAGGCCCCTTCATATCTTAAAGAGCTCATAGTACCCTATTACCCCACTAGAACATCACGTTCTCTGAATGCTGGGCTACTTGTGGTTCCTATAGTCTCTAAAAGTAGAACAGGAGCCAGAGCCTTCAGTTACCAAGCTCCTCTCCTGTGGAACCAGCTTCCAGTTGTGGTTCGGGAGGCAGACACCCTCACCACATTCAAGAGTAGGCTTAAGACATTCCTCTTTGATAAAGCTTATAGTTAGGGCTGGATCAGGTGAGTCCTGAACCATCCCTTAGTTATGCTGCTATAGGCCTAGACTATCGGGGGATTTCCCATGGTGCACTGAGCTACTCTCTTCCTCTCTCTTTCTGCACTCATTCATGTCCCATTAATGCATGTTACTAACTCCACTTCTTCCCCGGAGTTCTTGTGCTTTCTCGTCTCGCAGGTTCTCATGGATCCTGGTGGAGCCTCCTGCCATGGTCCTGTTTGACTGCCATTGCCAATACTGTTGTTGCTGTGCACCTGTCTGTCTGTCTGTCTCTCGCTCTCTGCCTCTCTCTGCCTCTCTCTCTCTCTCTCTCTCTCTCTCTCTCTCTCTCACCCCAACTGGTCGAGACAGACGACCACCCACCTAGAGCCGGAGGATCTGTCCTAGGTTTCTGCCTTTTAACAGGCAGTTTTTCCTTGCCCTTGTCGCCAAGTGCTTGCTCATGGTGGTACTGTTGGGTCTCTGTAATTAATGTTAAAGAGTTCGGTCTAGACCTGCTCTATTTGAAAAGTGTCCTGAGATAACTTCTGTTATGAATTGGCGCTATACAAATAAAATTGAATTGAATTGAATTGAATTGAACTATGTCAATCAGAAAAATGGCCCAAATATAAAATACTTTTATTTTTATTGATTGATATATTGTTTGATATATTGATATAAGTGACACCGGTTACAAATAAACTGTAGTTTGAATGTTAAACATACTTTTATTTACCAGCATTCCCGGCCTCCATCAGCTCTGCTCCATCTGAGCTGGAGAGTCGACTGAACGTGCGTCTGGAAAATCAATTTTCTTGTTGGATTTAGATTTTATAACAGCAGATTGTGAACTACAGAGAGAATATTCTGTTTTGGAAAGACTGAATGCAAGGACAGAGTCTGCATCCACTTTAAAGGAGCATTTCACCCGTGGAAACATTCATAATTATTGAAAGTGGGTTATATATGTAGTCGAAATGTAACATATATTTTGAATTTGGTGCCTATTTGACCGAGAAAAGACAGAAAGTGACTTTAGGGCGCATTTGTATAAAAGACAACAACTCCCACAATGCACAGCTCCGCAAGCCGCTCCCACTAACACTATCAAGGACTACAACAACATGAATGTAAACCATTTATTTACAGAAATATATCAACAACAACAAAAATAAATATGTTAACTATGACAGTTATAGTTCCTCCTGAGCGTCCTCAACTTCTTGGTGTCCGCAGTACTGGCCATCTGGAGCTGAATATTTCTGTTGGATAGCCTGCACCACATAAGCGGGTAAAACGACCCATTCCAGAAAGGCTGTTAGGCGATATTGTCTACAAGACATTGAGCACACAGTTAGCGATGCATGGTCTTTGTGTTTAGCGTGCCACAGTAGTTAGCAATGCAACTGCAAGCTGTTTGTGCAGTAAAGAAGCTAGTTCAGTTGGCTGACGTTATGTATTAACCGGGAATAACTTCGTGATAATACTTGAACAAATTGTGTACATACATGCCACGTTGTTATAAGAAAGAAAATAGAAACACTCACTTTACAGTCCGTAGGCGCACAGCGAGAGCACAGGCACCAGCAGTCCGCCCCAGCTCGAGCCAGTCCGGGCTCCTCGTCCGCGACAGGCAGGTCCTCTGCCTTGGCTGCAGAAGCCTCAGCCGCTGCTTGCTATATTGCGGCTCATAAAGGTAGCCACGAACATCTGATTCGACCATTATACTTTCGAAATTTCTTCCATATTAGATTGATTACCATAGTTGTAACATCTGGCTTGTCAGCGCCTCCGCTTAGCTTCCAAACAAGATGGCGGTTATATTTTTTAGTTTCTGCAAGTGAAGTCCCACCCACTGATCTGTAATAGGTCTGTAGCGTGAGTGAAAAAAAAATAAGGAAGTAGTGTTTGTAGTCTCACCCCCTCTACAGAGATATGAGACTTCCTGCTTCCAATGATGCAAAATGAAGATTTTTACATCATTGGAAGCAGGAAGTGCAACACTGAAATCCTTATTTCTCCCCTCTCAGGGGAAGTGAGGGAATGATGCACGACCATTCAAAAATATGACTGGGGTTCTAATGATACAAAGCTTAATGCAAATGGGTGAAATGTCCCTTTAACCATCCATATATAGAGAGGTAACCTCTCTATCTCCCCCCTGGTGGCTGACTGCAGTAGACTGTCTCTCTATCTCCCCCTGGTGGCTGACTGCAGTATAGACTATCTCTCTATCTCCCCCTGGTGGCTGACTGCAGTATATACTCTCTCTCTCTCTCTCTCTCTCTCTCTCTCTCTCTCTCTCTCTCTATCCAATCTGCCTCCATGTTAGCAGATGGGACAAACTAAAAGTTGGGTCGTTCTTATCTTAAGATATAAAAAGGCGGTTTAACGGCCGGGAATGTGGGTGGGACCTCGATACTGCGGCGTCAACCCTGATCACTATGTGAAGACCCAACACGTTTCCGTGAGGAACTCCTTTATAAATCTTAATGAACCCTGAACTGTTTTCTCCGTAGAGCTGGAGGTCAGTGAGAAACAGCTGAAGATCTTTTCTTTCTCAGAATATGAAGTGAAAATCTTCAGACTGCTGCTTGAACAAACCTTATCACGATATTTTTCAATTAAATTTTTTCAATTAAATTTTATTTGTATAGCACCAAATCATAACAGAAGTTATCTCAGGACACTTTTCAAATAGAGCAGGTCTAGACTGAGCTCCTTATAACATTATTTACAGAGACTCAACAGTTCCCACCATGAGCAAGCACTTGGCGACGGCGGCAAGGAAAAACTTCCTTTTAAGAGGCAGAAACCTCGGACAGACCCCTCGGCTCTAGGTGGGTGGGAGAGAGAGAAAGAGAGAGAGAGAGAGAGAGAGAGATAATGGGGTAACGACAGCAGGACAGAGACAGAGACAAAGGTGCACAGCAACAACAGTAGCAACAAATTAAACACAGCGTTAGTTCAGGCAGGCCACGAAGTCAAGCTCAGCTCTCAATACCAGCTACATCAGCTGTTCAAAGCTAATCGTAAACACACATCAGCTGATGGCTCAGCTGATTCCTTCTAAGCTTCCTATTGGAAAACTATACACAGTCAGCTCACGGTTCAGCTTATTCCCTCAAGCATCCAATGCAAATATCATTCAGGGCGCCTTATTTAAACTGCTTCAGCCTGCCTATCTTTGTGTAACATTCTGCTTTAGAATAAAAGTTCTTTTGACAAAAGTGGTCCTGACTGAACTACACTAATAGTAGTGACTGATGGTGATAATGATGATGAACAGGAACTCACCTGAGCCAGCCCTAACAATAACAAAACGACATGACAAAATGAACACTGCCAGAAAAACTGAACACATTCATTCATTTAGTCTAATTCTTTCATTCACTGATTGTTTCAGTTATGGAGAGCCGACTGAACTCACTGCAGGAACAACTGAACACGTCTGAGAGAAACCAGCTCAGTCCCATACAGGGTAAAGCACTCATTCATTCATTCAATTATACATTCAGTCATTTATTCATTCGGTCGGTCACTCAGTCATTGTAGAAATCGACAAAATTCAGGTGAAGTTTAGTTCAGTCATTCATCGTTTGTCAACTTATTTATTCGTTTATTCATTCACTCACTGTAGAATCCAGGTGCAGTTTGATTCATTCAGTGCAGTGGTAATATTGAAATGACGTATTGATTGTTGATTGATGTGTTTATTGATTTCAGATCAGCTGTCATTGATCAGCAGCAGACTGAACTCCAGTCAACCTTACCTGGATAAGCTGAACAGAAACTCTGCAGGTGGGCCACATGATGTGATGATGTCAGTGAAGCAGTTTTACAGTGTGAGAGTGATGGCGTTGTTTTTAACATGTTCAGATCAAACGGGTCGACTGACATCTGTAGAGACACGATTGGATGAGCTGAAGACAGAAAACACAGGTGAGGAACACCTGGACTGATCAATATAACATACTGATTTTAGAGAGACCAACAAAGTACTTTTACTTTAATACTATGAGTACTGAACATTTCAGAGCTTGTAAAGTACTTCTACTTTTGTACACAAGTACTTCTCTTTCAGTAAAGAATATGTGTACTCTTAACACCTCTGCCAACAAAAAACGGTCCTTTGGAGCAGTGGGCTTTTGTTTTCGGGATAACCTACTCACCACATAATCCGAACTCTTTTGACATTATAAATCCTGTTTATGAGGACATTTTGAGTGCAATTTTCCGTGCATTAAGCTGATGTGTGTTTACACAGAGAAGCAGTTACACAGTTGTTTAGTACCTCACCAGCACTGCCGTACAAAGGGTTTTAGAAATACTGAGGTCAGAAAACTGAACTTGCGAGAGGGGTTTTTAAATGAGTGATGGTACTCAGTTCTCAGTTCATCAATCAATATTTTCTCCATAGAGCTAGAGGGAAAATTGAGATCCACTGAGACAAAGCTGGAGAATCACGCTGCAGGTAACATCACCAACTCTTCAATATAACTGTTAATTAATCATTAAATAAACCACTGAATGAAACATGAACCATTTGTTGTTCAGCTCTGGAGGTCAGACTGAGTTTCAGTGAGAAACAGCTGGAAGATCTGAAGACAGAAAACACAGGTAACACACTGAAGGTTTCAAACTCACTGTAGATTATTACATGGTATCTGTATAAAGTGACAGCTAGGGAAAATCATGTTTTTCAGATCTAACAGTTCAAGGACCTGCTCTATTTGAAAAGTGTCCTGAGATAACTTCTGTTCTGAATTGGCGCTATACAAATAAAATTGAATTGAATTGAATTGAATGTAATGATTATTCAAATTCAAACTGTGCAGGATCCAATGAGGTTCCCTAAGGAACTCCCTTATCATCTTGATGGTTCTTGTAGGAAACTGTATGACTTTTTAATATACAGGAAGTATAAGATTCAACTATTTATAGTGCAGATTGTTAAACTACCGTTTATACTTGATAGTAGACATTTGTTTGTGCTGATTTTGTGCTTCCAGTTCAGTCTGTTCAACTTTCCTTGATGGAGTCCAGACTGACAGACAGCCACAACAGCACTACAGGTAGAGTTATATTTATATAAGCATTTATGCATCTGTATAAATATATCTATATAAATCAATGCAATCTGATCATTGATCAGCTCTGGAGGGCAAACTGAGATCCACTGAGACAAAGCTGGAGAATCACGCTGCAGGTAACATCACCAACTCTTCAATATTACTGTTAATTAATCATTAAATAAACCACCTAATGAAACATGAACCATTTGTTGTTCAGCTCTGGAGGTCAGACTGAGTGTCAGTGAGAAACAGCTGGAAGACCTGAAAACAGAAAACACAGGTAACACACTGAAGGTGTCAAACTCATTGTAGATTAATCTATGTTAAAAAAAATATTTTAAAGTTGAAATTTGTATAAAAAGTCAGTCCGTCTGATACTTGTTGACTCAAAGTATTTAACCAGAGTAAATGAAATCAGATAAAACAATGTATATGTTAACTGTGAAATTCAGACAAAGTGATGGAGAGTTTGGAGCTCAAAGTTTTTATCTTGAAGAAAACAAAGTGGAACTGTGGATTGAACCTGTGGAGGATCCAACATGGTTCCCTGAGGAACTCCTTTATAAACATAAATGAACCCTGGTTGTTCTTTAGAAACCTCAAACATATGAGGGTTTGTTCCTAGAACTTTCTGGTAATTAACCACTGCAATTAAGCTTTAAATTGTAATGACATCATTCAACATATTATAGTGCATATTATCATTATTATTACATTGTTCTATTACTTGATAGAAGAAATTTGTTTGTGCGGATTTTGTGCTTTCAGTTCAGTCTGTTCAACTTTCCTTGATGGAGTCCAGACTGACAGACAGCCACAACAGCACTACAGGTAGAGTTATATTTATATAAGCATTTATGCATCTGTATAAATATATCTATATAAATCAATGCAATCTGATCATTGATCAGCTCTGGAGGGCAAACTGAGATCCACTGAGACAAAGCTGGAGAATCACGCTGCAGGTAACATCACCAACTCTTCAATATTACTGTTAATTAATCATTAAATAAACCACCTAATGAAACATGAACCATTTGTTGTTCAGCTCTGGAGGTCAGACTGAGTGTCAGTGAGAAACAGCTGGAAGACCTGAAAACAGAAAACACAGGTAACACATTGAAGGTGTCAAACTCATTGTAGATTAATCTATGTTAAAAAAAATATTTTAAAGTTGAAATTTGTATAAAAAGTCAGTCCGTCTGATACTTGTTGACTCAAAGTATTTAACCAGAGTAAATGAAATCAGATAAAACAATGTATATGTTAACTGTGAAATTCAGACAAAGTGATGGAGAGTTTGGAGCTCAAAGTTTTTATCTTGAAGAAAACAAAGTGGAACTGTGTATTGAACCTGTGGAGGATCCAACATGGTTCCCTGAGGAACTTCTTTATAAACATAAATGAACCCTGGTGGTTCTTTAGAAACCTCAAACATATGAGGGTTTGTTCCTAGAACTTTCTGGTAATTAACCACTGCAATTAAGCTTTAAATTGTAATGACATCATTCAACATATTATAGTGCATATTATCATTATTATTACATTGTTCTATTACTTGATAGAAGAAATTTGTTTGTGCTGATTTTGTGCTTTCAGTTCAGTCTGTTCAACTTTCCTTGATGGAGTCCAGACTGACAGACAGCCACAACAGCACTACAGGTAGAGTTATATTTATATAAGCATTTATGCATCTGTATAAATATATCTATATAAATCAATGCAATCTGATCATTGATCAGCTCTGGAGGGCAAACTGAGATCCACTGAGACAAAGCTGGAGAATCACGCTGCAGGTAACATCACCAACTCTTCAATATTACTGTTAATTAATCATTAAATAAACCACCTAATGAAACATGAACCATTTGTTGTTCAGCTCTGGAGGTCAGACTGAGTGTCAGTGAGAAACAGCTGGAAGACCTGAAAACAGAAAACACAGGTAACACACTGAAGGTGTCAAACTCATTGTAGATTAATCTATGTTAAAAAAAATATTTTAAAGTTGAAATTTGTATAAAAAGTCAGTCCGTCTGATACTTGTTGACTCAAAGTATTTAACCAGAGTAAATGAAATCAGATAAAACAATGTATATGTTAACTGTGAAATTCAGACAAAGTGATGGAGAGTTTGGAGCTCAAAGTTTTTATCTTGAAGAAAACAAAGTGGAACTGTGTATTGAACCTGTGGAGGATCCAACATGGTTCCCTGAGGAACTTCTTTATAAACATAAATGAACCCTGGTGGTTCTTTAGAAACCTCAAACATATGAGGGTTTGTTCCTAGAACTTTCTGGTAATTAACCACTGCAATTAAGCTTTAAATTGTAATGACATCATTCAACATATTATAGTGCATATTATCATTATTATTACATTGTTCTATTACTTGATAGAAGAAATTTGTTTGTGCTGATTTTGTGCTTTCAGTTCAGTCTGTTCAACTTTCCTTGATGGAGTCCAGACTGACAGACAGCCACAACAGCACTACAGGTAGAGTTATATTTATATAAGCATTTATGCATCTGTATAAATATATCTATATAAATCAATGCAATCTGATCATTGATCAGCTCTGGAGGGCAAACTGAGATCCACTGAGACAAAGCTGGAGAATCACGCTGCAGGTAACATCACCAACTCTTCAATATTACTGTTAATTAATCATTAAATAAACCACCTAATGAAACATGAACCATTTGTTGTTCAGCTCTGGAGGTCAGACTGAGTGTCAGTGAGAAACAGCTGGAAGACCTGAAAACAGAAAACACAGGTAACACACTGAAGGTGTCAAACTCATTGTAGATTAATCTATGTTAAAAAAAATATTTTAAAGTTGAAATTTGTATAAAAAGTCAGTCCGTCTGATACTTGTTGACTCAAAGTATTTAACCAGAGTAAATGAAATCAGATAAAACAATGTATATGTTAACTGTGAAATTCAGACAAAGTGATGGAGAGTTTGGAGCTCAAAGTTTTTATCTTGAAGAAAACAAAGTGGAACTGTGTATTGAACCTGTGGAGGATCCAACATGGTTCCCTGAGGAACTTCTTTATAAACATAAATGAACCCTGGTGGTTCTTTAGAAACCTCAAACATATGAGGGTTTGTTCCTAGAACTTTCTGGTAATTAACCACTGCAATTAAGCTTTAAATTGTAATGACATCATTCAACATATTATAGTGCATATTATCATTATTATTACATTGTTCTATTACTTGATAGAAGAAATTTGTTAGTGCTGATTTTGTGCTTTCAGTTCAGTCTGTTCAACTTTCCTTGATGGAGTCCAGACTGACAGACAGCCACAACAGCACTACAGGTAGAGTTATATTTATATAAGCATTTATGCATCTGTATAAATATATCTATATAAATCAATGCAATCTGATCATTGATCAGCTCTGGAGGGCAAACTGAGATCCACTGAGACAAAGCTGGAGAATCACGCTGCAGGTAACATCACCAACTCTTCAATATTACTGTTAATTAATCATTAAATAAACCACCTGAATGAAACATGAACCATTTGTTGTTCAGCTCTGGAGGTCAGACTGAGTGTCAGTGAGAAACAGCTGGAAGACCTGAAAACAGAAAACACAGGTAACACACTGAAGGTGTCAAACTCATTGTAGATTAATCTATGTTAAAAAAATCTTTTAAAGTTGACATTTGTATAAAAAGTCAGTCCGTCTGATACTTGTTAGACTCAAAGTATTTAACCAGAGTAAATGAAATCAGATAAAACAATGTATATGTTAACTGTGAAATTCAGACAAAGTGATGGAGAGTTTGGAGCTCAAAGTTTTTATCTTGAAGAAATTTTTTTTTTGGAACTGTGGGTTGAACCTGTGGAGGATCCAACATGGTTCCCTGAGGAACTCCTTTATAAACATAAATGAACCCTGGTGGTTCTTTAGAAACCTCAAACATATGAGGGTTTGTTCCTAGAACTTTCTGGTAATTAACCACTGCAATTAAGCTTTAAATTGTAATGACATCATTCAACATATTATAGTGCATATTATCATTATTATTACATTGTTCTATTACTTGATAGAAGACATTTGTTTGTGCTGATTTTGTGCTTTCAGTTCAGTCTGTTCAACTTTCCTTGATGGAGTATCCAGACTGACAGACAGCCACAACAGCACTACAGGTAGAGTTATATTTATATAAGCATTTATGCATCTGTATAAATATATCTATATAAATCAATGCAATCTGATCATTGATTAGCTCTGGAGGGCAAACTGAGATCCACTGAGACAAAGTGAAGCTGGAGAATCACGCTGCAGGTAACATCACCAACTCTTC